AATGGGCCCGGTATAATTACTTTTGTGACTACTGCTGCTGATGACAGACATTTGAGTAAGTCAAGCATCGTGGCAGTTGAGGATGGTTCGGTCGCTGACCTTGTTCTTCACAATAGTGGCATAAATGAACTTAACGACTCTAGCGCCAAAGAATTAGCTGGTGCCGTCATATCTTCATCGACCAATCACGAGACAGCTGTCAGACCAGACGATAGACAGACGGTTTTGCTTCTGTCATCCCCTAATGAGCCTTCCCGTGTTACGACCTCCAATCACCTAGAAGCCAGCGATATAACCGAAATTTCCGTCATTAACGTCAGCGCCGACTAGGCGCCCTCTATTTCTTGAATTCTTTTTACTATTTATCTTTACTTCCAATTTATCACGTGGATATTACATTCATTTTGTATATTAGCCCATTAACCTGAGGATGTAAATACTCCCTTTATTAATGCTATTGACATTTCACGAATTCTTGTGGTTCAAGAAGGCATATTCATGCTCCTACAGACCGCGTCTTTTTATCATTGTTTTGCAGTTTTAGCCATCCTTGCAGAAGGACATGAACATGCTTTTTGCAATGCCTCGAGTCTATATTTGTCATTTGTCTTCATGTTGGTTTTGGCAAGCCCAGACCCATAATCTCATGTTTGCCTTCGATAAAACCTCTGGAACTGGGAATTGTTGCGTGATTTTTGGCCATTTAAAGATGATTTATGATACTAACCCATACTCATATCTTGTTACCAGCCCACAATGCGATGAGATGTTACGTGGGTGCACCAATTTCGGCCAAGGCTCATACATTTTGTGAGTGTGTACATTCCCGCCCTATTTTGGCTATTATCGTCATACTTAGCGATGTTCAAATCCGAATGACGCAGCGTAGCCTCGACATGCTCACTAGTATTTCATAGCCATGAATGCCCTTGGACAACAGGCTAAGGGAATTTTAAAGAAACTTAGACCTTTCCCATATTGCATTACTGTGGCGGGATTGTCAGCAAAGTTGTATTTGCCACAGAGTTCGACTCCATCACCTATTTCCTATTGATACGCTGGCTTCTAAAGCACCAATCCTTTGCTTTAAACGAAGTAGGTTAAATATATCCATTCCCGCTGATCTACTTGTAAACGGGAAGTGAGTATCGCCGTCATATAGAAAAATGCGACTCAGACCAGTTGATAATCTCACCGTAGAAATGTGATATGAAGAGGCACGGGCGGTGCGTGGATAATGGAAATAGTAGACAGTAGGAAATGCTGTCACGGGCGCCACCCATTTTAGGCTATCCACTTCGGAGGATAAGAGAGCTGCTTGCCCATAGCTGGCATGCTAATTATGTCGATCCAATGTCGTGAGAATAGGTAAAGCACTTAAGAACCAAGACAGCTTTTAATGAGGACCCTCCAATTAGCAAACCAGCAACCCATCAGCGTGGGATACAAGATTACCCTGCTCCACAATGATCTGCACGGCTAAAAAGTCCCCTTTGCTAAACATAAGTATTTATTCAGTAAAACAGAATTGGGAAATAAGATCAGCTTAACTTGAGGATTCTGATGTAGTAGATGGGAAGAGTCGAGGGATGAATGGCAGTAAATAAACTAACAAATGACGGGTTGTTCTCATTGTCGAGGTGTGGAAGTCGGAGATATTGCAGGACAAAGGTGACCGGAATCCCCGCATGTACAGGGACCCTGACGAATGGTGAAGTAAAAGTGCGCAAATACTATATTTGAAGAGAACTTGAAAACGAGAAACCCACCCAAGATAAGACAGGAAAACAGACAAGTAAGCAGCTAAGTAAAGCTAATTTATTGCTAGATATACGTACGGAGAGAAACTACGTATGCGCTTTTTTCTGTATGAAAGGCTTGGTGGACTCAAGAGTTAAAAACTTTCTCGGGTTGACTGCTAGAGGATCGTGAATAGGATGATGGCCGAATATCTGATGAGTTGTAGCATCAGCAGCTTTTTTAAAAAACCAAAGGTAAAGAAGTACAAGGCAGGAATAGCTCACAACATCGAATCGGCGGATTTCATCCTCCCTCAGAAGCTTTCCCACGGGTATCCATCTAAATTTAGCTGACCAAGTCGTCGGGTATATCATTCGACGAGGATTTTGCATGTAGGCCTGAAAGTAAGTGTCCCATTTTCTTCCTATAGCTCTGTAGAATACAGCGAATATAGGATTATTCATTTTTAAAGCCAATGCCTAAATAAAATTACGAACGCGAAACCGGTTACCGAGACGAAAAAGGCGAAGATACGAAGAGGAATAAACTCGGCACCAATAAGTAAGATTTAAAATTGATTTGTTTTATCATTTTTATGTTATAGTTGGTACATTGTAGCTAATGTAAGGTGTCAAAATTGCAGCGTAATTAAAAAAAACTATTTGGCGGTGCTTTCGTTGAACTGGCTGCCTATGGCTATTTTTGGCTTTCAACTTGTTTCTACCTTAGTCGGCGTTAGTATTCTCTCCAAAGTGCTCACTCATTTTTCAATTGCTAAATGCATTCTTTTTAATGGGTTGTTCTACTGTAGTATGCCATCTGATAAGATGCTTTTGGAATCAGCAGGGATGTATAAGCTAAAGAGTAAAGGTATTTACTAGTACTTTGACTTAAGTATCTAATAGCTTATT